GATAAATATAGACTCACCAGGCAAACGGAAATCAGAAAAAAGCAGAGGTGGCAATTTTATTTACAGATACACTACTCTTTAAACCAACAAAAGTAAGGAAGACATTTCATATTTGCTAAGGGAAACGCTCCACATGATGAGATGTCAATTATTAACATTTATGCACCCAACCAGAACGCTCCTCAATTTATAAGGGAGACCCTAACAGACATGAGCAATTTAGTATCTTCCAGCACCATAACAGTTGGAGATTTTAACACCCCTTTGGCAGTGTTGGATAGATCCTCCAATAAGAAACTAAGCAAAGAAATTTTGGACTTAAAATTCACCATACAACAATTGAATTTAACAGACATATACAGAACATTTCACCCTAACAAAACTGAATACACATTCTTCTCATCAGCCCATGGAACATCCTCCAAAACTGATCACATTTTAGGTCACAATTCTACCTCAACAAATTTAAAAGTATAGAAATTATTCCTTGTTTTTTCTCAGATCATCACACTATAAAAGTTGAAGTCACCAATAACAGGTATTTGCATACTCATACAAAGACAGAAACTAAATAACCTTATTCTGAATGATAGCTGGGTCATAAATGAGATTAAGAAGGAAACTGCCAAATTTTTGGAACAAAACAATAATGAAGACATGAATTATCAGAACCTGTGGGATACTGCAAAGGCACTCCTAAAAGGAAAATTTATAGCATTTTAAGCCTTCCTCAAGAGAACAGAAAGAAAGGAAGTCAGCAACTTAATGGTATATCTTAACCAACTAGAAAAGGAAGAACATTCCAACCCCAAAACCAGCAGAAGAAAAGAAATAACTAAAATTAGACTAGAATTAAATGAAATGGAAAACAAAGGAATTATCCAAAAGATGAATCAAAAAGTTAGTTTTTGAAAAATTCAACAAAACTGATAAACCTTCAGCCAACCTAACCAAAAATAGAAAATTAAAGTCCATAGTTTCATCAATCAGAAATGACAAAGGCAAAATAACAACAGATACCTCAGAAATTAAAAAAATAATGAACACTACAAAAAATTTATTCTCAGAAATATGAAAATCTGAAAGAAATTGACCAATACTTGGAAGCACACCAACTTCCTAGACTTAATTAGAAAGAATTGGAAATGCTGAACAGACCTATATCAAGTACTGAAATAGAATTAACTATACGAAATCTCCCAAAAAAGAAGAGTCCAGGACCAGATGGCTTCACAACAGAATTCCAGCAAACCTTTAAAGAGGAACTAGTACTTAACCTTTTCCAAAACATAGAAAAAGAAGGAATACTTCCCAACATATTCTATTAGGCAAATATCACCCTGATCTCCAAACCAGGAAAAGAACCAACAAGAAAAGAAAACTATAGACCAAGATCACTTAATGAATATTGATGCAAAAATATTCAGTAAGATCCTAGCAAACAGAATCTAGCAACACATCAAACGAATTATACACCATGACCAAGTGGGTTTTATCCCAAGGTCTCAAGGCTGGTTAAATATATGAAAATCTATAAATATAATACATCACATAAATAAAATAAAAAGCAAAGACCACATGATTCTTTTGACAGATGCAGAAAAAGCTTTTGACAATATCCAGCATCCTTTCATGATCAGGACATTTAAGAAAATAGGGATAGAAGGGATGTTTCTTAAACTGATAGAGGTCAGGCAAGAGAAGGTGATCAAGGGTATACAAATAGGGTCAGAGGGAGATCAAACTTTCACACTTTGCAGATAATATGATTTTATACCTGGAAAAAAAGGTATGATTTTATACCTGTATACCTGTGATCAAGGAATACAGTCTTAGGATACAAAATCAATACTCACAAATCAGTAGATTTTATATATACCAATAATAGTCAGCTGAAAAAAACAGTCTGTTCCCTTTACAGTTATGCCAAAGATGAAATATTTGGGAATTTACCTAACAAAGGATGTGAAAGATCTCTATAAAGAGAACTATGAAACTCTGAGAAAAGAAATAGCTGAAGATGTCAACAAATGGAAAAACATACCATACTCAGGGCTAGGAAGAATCAACATTATTAAAATGTCCGTTTTACCCAAAGCAATTTACAAATTTAATGACAGTAAGTGTCTAGGTTCATCACTTGGTTTTCAATTCTGTTCAGTAGTTATACACAAATTGCTCTGTGCTCTTATTTTTTTCTCTTCCCATAGGGGTGCATAATCAAAAAGTTTTGAGATAGGTGGAACAGAAAAAAAGTATCTGACAATATTAAAAGAAAACACAAGAGTTAACAAGATCATGCCTCCCGGTATACTCCTAA